GCGCCCGGGAGTCCCCTCTGGGGGGAGGTCTGCCCTCGTCAGTCCCCTCTGGGGGGAGGTCTGCCCTGGTCAGTCCCCTCTGGGGAAGGTCTGCCCTGGTCAGTCTCTCTAGGCAGTTATCAGTTAGGAGAATCAGCGCGCACTGCTTTGACCCTGTTCCCAAGGCCTTCCCCTACCTTGCTCTTAGTACTGATTTCACTGCTTTGGGAACTGCTGCTACTATGTCGTTTCTTGCCTTTCCGAAACATTGTTCACCATAGCTTGATCAGAGAAGATCCCCTGGAAGAACAAAGGTTGGAGACGTTACATAAAAAAGGCAACCTGGGAACCAGCAGTTAGCGTAATGGCTATGTCGCTGGACTCCCACGTAGTCGACCGCGGTTCGCGTCCTGGACCCGGTGGCTTATAAAACTCACGCCGGGTGTGTGTGCATGCGTGCCCAAGATCCCGAGAGGAGAATGGAGGAGAAGGGATTGCGGGGTGACCATCCCCACCGGGGCCTTCCCCTACCTTGCTCTTAGTACTGATTTCACTGCTTTGGGAACTGCTGCTACTATGTCGTTTCTTGCCTTTCCGAAACATTGTTCACCATAGCTTGATCAGAGAAGATCCCCTGGAAGAACAAAGGTTGGAAATGTTACATAAAAAAGGCAACCTCAGATCACTCTGGGCAGAAGGAATAAAAGCCTACTTCTTCCAGCTCCCTGAGTTGTTCCCTTCGTTGGAAATGTAATACTTTTCCCTAGATACTGTTCCTTTTCATACTTCTTAGTTACAGAAAGGCAGGAGCCTTCTTGCCCTACACAGAGAGAGGTGTGACACACGTTTCTCACAAGTGACAGACGCACGCCATCTTTCAATAGTTCTCTAAGAACAGAAGGGCTTCACCCCTCTTCAACAGAGTCGACTTTTTACCAAAACACGTGGCGTTGACATTGAGTTACACCCCCGGTTCTCTTTCTATGGCGCTTCTCAGACATGTGCAATTTTCTTAAAGTCCTGAAATGTCTTTAGGTAAAAGCTGATAGATGCGAATAAGATAACCTAGCAAACTCTTACCGAACAGCGACCTCTATACAGGGAACAGGACGTCTGCTCCCTGTGGAGTGGAATACTACCTATTACCTTCAGAGGTTCCACAAGGCCGATGTTTTTCAGAGAAACAGCATACCTGGTGAAGGAAAAGGATAAGTCAGAGTGACCAATGGAGGCTCTAATTCGAAGCGGCTCTGGTTGGATTATGTTTTAGATTCATGACGGAGCATGTGCACCATGACAGGGGCAGAGAGAAGCACTGTCCCAGGCTCAGTCACGCTGCAGTCCCCTTTTTCCAGTCCTCCAGCGTGTCAGGATCCTGAGCATGGTGCACAGGCCTTGCACAATTTCAGACCAACCAGGCTGGAACTCGAACTGCGATCTGCCCGTGGCTCCCAGCTGCGCAGCCCAGTGCCACCCCTGCACCGCAGAAGCTGTGTCCTTCACTGTATTTGGACACCCGACTCTCGGTCCGCTTACCAGGGCATGACCTCGGCCACACGCCTAAGGCTGACTCCTGCTCTCTAGCACTTGAATCAACATCATCCAGTTTCTGTGGTTTTGCTTTATTTGTGATGTAGCAAGAAAATGGATTCAGTAAATGCATTTAAAAATACCTATTAATACCTATGTAATGACTGCAGGAAGCTATACAGCCCCAGCGAGGTGCTACTTTATAGTATGTTCACTCTACTCACTGAGAGTTATACCCAAAGTCAGACACGCGTTCATAGACATGTATATATCAGCTGTGCCTGCTATTGAAAGTTTTAACTTAAGACCTTTAGTGAATCAATAAAATGTGGGGGGGAAAAGGCATGAGAACAACAGTAGATACCACAGACAGTGTAGGGTAAGGGAGGGAATTGGCAGAGGGTGAAAGGGAATCAAGGAGGAAAAAAAAAAAAAAATATATATATATATATGAAACAAGAAATAGAAAATTACTTGATGATAACATGTATGTTAATATCTTTAATTGATCCAATAAACAATGTATTCTGGATGGAAAGTCTTATTTTGTATACTGTATAGATGTATGATAAAAGACTGTAAATAAACCAATTAAAATAAAAAAAAAAAAAAAGAAAGAAAGAAAGTGGATTGAGTCATTTATGCCCGAGTAGTGAGTACGTACTAGGTGCTGGGGCACATCCGTGTGCAAACATACAAGCCCCTTCCCCACCTCAGGGAGCTTATTTTTAAAGGGAGTAGAAAGAGCAACCACAAAAACAAATATAAACAGGAAATATTAATAGGAAACAATAACTGCTGTGAGTTCGACTAAAGCAAGCTATGAGCTACCGAGTGATCGACGGAAGAGGTAAATACTTCAGATGGAGAAAGCCCTGGAGAAGCGGGAGCTAAGGAGACCCGAATGGAGAGGACAGCCTTACAGACAGGACAGGAGGGGAGGCTTGCAGGTAGCGCAGGGGGAGGACTGATGATGGGACCACGGGAGGCCGGGAAGGCCACAGCAGGGGTAGCAGGAGCTCGGTGGGTGAGGGACAGACCCACAGAAAGCCTGGCTGGCTGTGGTACCTATCTGGGTTTATTCGGGGGCTTAACAAGAAGCCTCCAAGGACTCTGAAAAAGCAGTCCAGGCCCAGTCATGGCAGCACAGGCAGTCAGAGGCGAGAGGTGAGATTGTGGAGGGGACCTTTCTCTCGATCTCTCATGAAATCAGTAATTAAAACAAAAATTACGGGAAAAAAGCAGCCAGGTGATATGCTTAGATTATTGTTTTTAAAGAAATGACTCTGGGGACCAGTTGGTGTTGTGGTCGAAAGCACTAGACTCCCACGTGGCCAACCGGGGTTCAAGTCTCAGATGGGTGGCTAGAAACTCATGCTGGGTGCACTGGGGCCGGCAGGTGGCCTGATGGTTAGGGGCACTGAAATCCCATATGGCCGACCATGGCTTGAGTCCTGGGCCTGGTGGCTTGGCTTTCTCACTTTCTGTGTCTCTCTGGTCAAATTTAAACAAACAAACAAATAAACAAATAAAGTTAACTAAAATAATTCTTAAAGTAAAAAAGAAACTCATGCTGTGTACATGTATGCCCCAAGTCCCAGGAGAATGGAGGAGAAGGGATTGCAGTGTGGCCATCCTCCTGGAGGGGTTGGTTCTTCACTTTCCCTCTCACTGTCACTCTCTCTCCAGTGCACACGCCCTGTGACAAAACCCGCACAGGAAAAAGAAAAAGAAATGACTGACTGTCAGGAAGTTCCTAACTGCCTAGCGTAAGAGAAGAAGATGGAGGCCAGAGCTGTCCCCATGGCCTAATGCTTAAGGGAGTCAGATCCCACATGGCAGACCCTGCGGTCCGAGAAACACGCCAGGACATGTGGGTGTTCCCAAAATCCCGATAAAATGGAAAATGGAGAAGGGATCGTGCTGTGACCACATCCCATTGAGGGGTCTTTCCTCTTCTCTCTCTGTCACATGGTAGTTAAAGCTCTTGGATGCCAGAGGGCAGAAGCTGCGTGGTTCAAGTCCCAGAACTGGTGGCTTGAAAAACGCGCCTGGCACACGTGTGCCCCAAATCCCAGAAGGAGACTAGAAAAGGGACTGTGATGTGGCCATTCCCCACTGGCGAGCGCCTTCTCACACACACACCCCCAACACACGAACCGTATAGCAAACTTATAAAACGAAATGAAGACAAGGACGGATCCGGAGGCATTGCAGGTGCATTGTTCCAAGGGTAACCTTGGCCTCACAGGGACCTCCAGGTAAGAGACAGCAGAGGCGCCAGATTCTGAGGTCTGCCGGGAGCTGGGCTGACCCAGCAGCGTAACGCGCCCTGTAGGTGGACTTTCGGGTTAAATGTTGGTCATAACATACGTAAGCCCTTCAAGTCCCAGAACTGGTGGCTTGAAAAACGCGCCTGGCACACGTGTGCCCCAAATCCCAGAAGGAGACTAGAAAAGGGACTGTGACGTGGCCATCCCCACTGGCGAGCGCTTTCTCATACCCCCCCACCACCAACACACGAACCCTACAGCAAACTTATAAAACGAAAATGAAGACAAGGACGGATTCGGAGGCATTGCAGGTGCGTTGTTCCAAGGGTAACCTTGGCCCCACAGGGACCTCCAGGTAAGAGACAGCAGAGGCGCCAGATTCTGAGGTCTGCCGGGAGCTGGGCTGACCCAGCAGCGTAACGCGCCCTGTAGGTGGACTTTCGGGTTAAATGTTGGTCATAACATACGTAAGCCCATCACACTTCAGCACATAGAAATACTTAGAGATATGCAGCCAATTTAAACAGGACATAGAAACTACTGTTAGTGGCACCCCGGAGCATCTGAAACCAGCACTCGAGAACGATGTGAAAATCATACCACACTTTCACAGCTTCACAGCTCCTCGCGGCCTTCCCATCATCAATCCTCACACTTGGGAGGAGCCATCTATTAAAGCCTCTAATATCTGCTGCTATTTTGGTACACGTCCCCAACAGAGTCATCCTTGCCTCCATATTATTCATGCATAAAAATGAGGCCAAGGGTACCGACCAGTACGATGTTCCGCAGTCTCGTCATGCAAAAATGCCTGGAACAGAAACATCTGCCCCTCCGGATCTGCTCCACTCCTCTCTGCTCAGGTAACTGCATTGCCGCCTTGGGAACCAGGATCTTCAGTTCCTCGCTGTCCTCCAGGCCCCACGTCCAGTCCAGCACCAACATTCACTGAGCACTCCACCTGAGTTTTCTGACCCAGCCCTCTGCCAGCCCCACACCCTTGCTACCATCCAGACTGCCCCGCACCCTAGAAAGACACGCAAACACACAACGCTTGGCATACAAGGGAAGGAACTCACAGACATGCTGGAGCGACTTCATGAATAAGGGACCCTGTCCTACTGGGCTTCCTAACACTTCCTTAATTTTTTTAAGACACAGGGTCTCCCATGTCACCTGGGCTGGCCTTGAACTTGAGACCTCCTGAGTATCTGGGATTACAAGTGTGTGACATGGCACTGGCTTCCTACCGCTTTAAACCTACTACCATGCTTCAGCCAAAATGATTAAAATTATTTCTTCTCACTGTAAATTGGATGCCCCTGGCCTGCTGAAGCTCTTTCCTTGGTTTCCAAAGAGGGGGAAGTGAAGCTCCTCCCCAGGGCAAGCAGATGCGGTAGGCCCAGCCTCCAGTCCCACCAGCACAGCCTGCAGCACTGGGGTTCATCCGGCAGCAGTGAAAACTTTTGTCTT